TTTTTTTTTTTGAAATATTCTAGTCCAATGAAGATAATAACCTTTAAGTAACTCCTTGCAAACATCCTTTGATGTAACTACTACTATAATGGAATTTCTACCTGCTGTTTTATCATTCAAGTTTTGCTTGAAATGTTGAATGGTTGATAACTAATTTTCTTTTCTTCATCTCTCTCTAGGATTTTACTTTGGAACAGTACAGTTTGACACCAGTTAATGGATGGAAGGCTTACTATGCTGCTACAAGAGCCATTATTAATACTAATGCTGAGTTTTTTAGAATCATTAGAGAAAGATTACTTCCAGCAATGGGTCAGTTTTGGCTTAATGCTGATTATGTGAAGTGCTTTCACGCATCTGGAGAGTCCTTTACGGGGTATGAGGCTTTCTATTTAATCTACTGTAATTTATAACCTGTCTCTCAGGAGCTAGAGCTTTATCCTAGCTCTTTAATTCCCTTCCCATCTCCTTTTCTATGAACTTGCTTGTTTTCTGATCAATTTGTGTAGATATTCTTCTGGACAAAGTGCGTGGATGGTCATTAGAGTGACTGGAAGGTTCATTTAAGACCTCCAATACTGTTTTCGATTGTTTTCTTGTGACCAAGACTATTTTGAGTATAGTTCATAGGTAAAGCTTCAATTGCGAATACAGAACATCAGCGGCAGGTGGTTCTGATATTTTCTTTCATGTGAAAATTTGAGATAACAATGGTTTCTAAGGAGCATTTTTCATTAGAATTTTAATTATACCTCTTGTGGAAATACTTGAAGTTACCAGAAAAGGGTTTTGGACCTCCCTTGACAGGGTTAGGAACAAATCTTTGTGCTGGTATAATTTGGTGAACGGCTTCTATTTCATTGAAAGTTTCCCTCTTGACATTTGTTTCTTAACGTTTGATTCATATTAATATATTGCACAATGAGGTGGTTTATTCAATTCTATTTTTAGGTTACCTTAATTCAAATCTTTTTCCTTTCTCGTTGCAGTTACAATGCAGTTATGGAAAGCTGGCAACTAGCATTTAGTTGGGAGAATGTTGCTGATTTCCAGATTCGAGATGTAAGAGCACGGGTACTGACAGATATGGCTTGGGTTACCATGAAAGCTTATCTGGACATGGAGACTGGGCCATTCACCGTGACTAATGTTTACGAGTTTCATAATGGGAGGTGGTACATGGTGCACCATCACAGCTCAGAACTGCTCATTCATGGAGGTGGTGTGCAACATTTTCTGCAGCAAGCATGACAAGGAAGATACTAAAATTTAGTATTGAAACTGAAAATTGGTATAGTTCTCTCTTTTATTATTGGTCATGACTATTAGAAATGACTCTAAGAAAATCCTTTGCGATTTCCTGGGAGATCTTAGTAATTTTTTGTCTTTTTCCGACTTCAGATTTAGATCCCTCCTGTGTGGAAGCTGTCAGTTTCTGGGGATTTCAGTTTTGTTGACAACTTTTTTTATGGTCAAATACATGCACAGATGAAGATTTTGCTTCTTTTTTGTTCAAGTGGAACTTTTGTGAACACGGCAATTACACATTGGTCGAGACCCAGGATTTTGTTTAGCTAAGTGACTTGTAGACCCACCTCATCCTAATTTAACAACCGATTGAACTTCTGGTCTACTTTTAAACAAAAATATGTCTCGAGTAGAA